AAATTTAATATCAAGTCAATATTAATACAATTAATGTAATAATGTCGATTTCGACGTCAAACTGACATCTAATTTTGGGTCATTTTTTGTTGGAATATTGTCAAAAATATATTTTTAAAATAATGTTAACTCATATACATGCCATTCTATCTCCATTATCCTTTAAAGACACAGAATTGTTATCTCCAGAGTACTGACTGTCTTGAAAGCTGAAGTGCAATGAATCATGAATTTGTTTATCAGATTTTACCTATCAGCATACGAATTAGAAAAAATACCATTTTTAGAGGAATTTGTTTAAAATAAAAATGAATTCGAATTTAAAACTCCACAAAAAAATATCCACACACTTGCATTTCACACAACTGAGCTTGTAGATACTAAAATACTATCATCCTAACTTTCTTTTGAATTAACATTCTGACTTGGATTGTATCTGTTGTTCTTCACATCATTAGAATGTTAGTTATAGCATTAAGATTCTAAATGTAAAATTTTGAAAAATACCTTGTTTATACATTAATGTATTGAAAAAAATCTTTATTTATGTATTTATACAGCTAGATTGTAACTGATAATAAATATATTTTAATCGAAAATACACTAGACAGCAAAATTAAAGCATCACCCATTCTAATCATTAAAAATAGGCAAATTTCAAGAGAGTGTAACTTCGTCAAAAATGATCGTATCGGAATGATCAAAAAAGCATTTTAAAGCTTAAAATCTCTACTTTCGACATCCATAATTCATTAAATTACGTACTGATTCTTTACAAAGCTGCACGGATGCAAATGGAGAAGCATCAAATCTAAAAATTTTTTACCAAGTTTGCGAAGTTCCAAAAAGTAAAATAAAAATCGCACGCAAATGAGATTTACATCGTTCGAAAGCGTGAATCTATAGCTTTAATTTGAGCTCCCGGCCAGCATTGTGCGATTTTTTTTCACCGAGTTATTCAACATTGAAGTAAAAATGACCATTTTGTCGAGTGTACATACACTAAAAAAATTGAGAATTTTCTTAAACATTTATCAATATGGAATAAAGAAATATTCAGAATAATTAATATGGGATATATCTCTTTGCATGTGAAAGACAAAAATATATTTCTATATATAAAAACAACATAAATAAATATTATTTAACAAAATGCATAGAAAAAAGTTTATTACATTGATTCTGTCATTTGTAAAAAAGAATTTCTCTAGAGAAATATATTTGTGCACAGAGAAATTATTTAAATAGATCAAAATTAATAATTTATCTATGCCTAAATGCTTTGATAAATAAGCGGTACCTACTATTATCGTTACACTTGAAACACGAACGAATTGGTATGTTATATAAGAAAACGAATTGGTATATTATATCCGACGTATTACTTTTCAACTTTGCTTTTACATAATTTAAGAAAAAGTTATTTTGTCAATTAAATTTGCTTAATAAGCAGACACTTCAATTTTTTTGTATGTACAATGAATATAAATGAATGTAACAATAAATATAAATTTTCTATTGCTTTTATCTTAAATATAAGTGATTGTGATTAACTCAATTTTCGTCATATCTTACAAGTTCTAAAAGATTTTGATAGAGTTAAATTCTATGATCATCTTATAAATACCAAAAATATTTTAACTCAGTTACGATATTTAAAAAAAAAGAAAGAGGAAAACAAAGGTTATACGCATACTTCATAGGCGTAGAACACTTACACCGATAGTGCAGAGGATTACGTGTATATTTGTTACGGAATATTCCTTCGCTGCGTGATACACAAGATATATTGTCACCAATACAATCAGTATATGGTTAACCGTATCCATTGCAGAGATAAGTATACGTTGAGTAGTACATTCCGGTTTTTCATTCCCAGAACTTACGAAACTTTTAGTAGACTCGTTACGTGAAAACCCTGGATTAGATTCTGTCAATTGGATTGGGTATTCGCTATTGTTTTTATCCGCCATTATTCTGTAACATATATAATTTGTTATCAGTATTATATTATAACTGGTAATCAGTCAAAAGGACTTATATTGGTTTGCATAGAACTTTATTTCTGATTCTTTAATCTTATTTTCATGATGACACAATATATAATACTATAGTAATATAGATTAAATAAGCAAATGATACGAATAAAATAATTATACATTCATATAATTAGATATACATGTGTTATAATCGTCAATAAAGTAAAGCTAAATATATAAAACTTTAAAAACATAAATATAAACTAGAAAGTATCTTGTGTCAGACAATAAAACAATTTAGTTTTATATAATATAATTCTGTTTGAAATTCTGCAATATTTAACATTTTCATAAGATAAGTAAAAATGAACGTTTGACAAAATAAACCCCAATGCTGGCAAGAAAGAGAGAAAAATAGATAAAATAGTTTCAGAAACTACAAACTAAAACAATCTAATATTAACAATAATATATTCAATATTATTTAAATAACATAATTTGTAAAAGAAAATTAATTGTAAGTTTTCGCATTTGTAGAATTTGCTTTTAGCTGATTGTATATACAGAAACAAGTCATAAATATTTTTTTTAATTATCTAAAATCAATCATAAATCTTGTTTTTATTAGAATTAATAAAGTGCAACGTTTAGTTTTCGAGAAATAAATGGATGTCTCTTTGGGAAAATTATGTCAGTATCAGCGACTTTCTTCAATTATATATAATTATATATGTAATCAATATTGATACATATAAATATTTAATTATTATAACTTGTTCCTTTCTTCTATATTTATTTATAATTTAAATAAATTTTTTAAACTTTAAATATGTCAAATATTACACAATTATTCAAAGAAATATGACAAATATTTTTTGTTTTATTTGTATAGTATACAAGTTATTAATACATTTTATGTCATTAAAAAACACAGTAGCGTCTCGCACAAATCCCCGCTCAATGTAAAGTTCGCAAAAAATATATTATTTAAAATTAAAATAATATCGAAATCATCAAATTGTTTTAAATGCCATGCCTAGAAAAAATAATATTAACCGTAAAAAAAAAGATTTGTTTAATAACAGCGTTTTTTATTATAATATTTCAGAAAAAGATTAATATTTTTTAATTCCTTTTAATCCGTTGTGTAAAATGTATTCTTTTATTTTCTATTTTCCGCATTAAAATTTCATAATAAATTATTAAATTAAAAAACAACTACAAACTGAAAACAAGTCTATTTTTTTTTAACTGTCACCCTCGTGTGCTTCCTCGTAAGTGCTTATCAGTCAAAATATGTATAAAATTTAATGTAATAGAATGTAATGTAACAAAATATTATAATTAATTAATATTATTGTCATTATATTATTTTACATATTAGAATTTTTTATAATATATAGTCATAAATATAATACTTATATTTAATTTTACTGTCTGGTACTATTATAGTTTTTTATATCAAAGCTTTTGAACCGGGGACGCATGAACTTGGCACTATTTCTTTATTTTTTTTAAATAATTTTTTGTATATGGATATTAAATAATTAAATTAAAATTAAGAAATTAAGAAAATTTAAAAAATATTTAAAGAAAAATTAAGAAAAGAAAATTAAACTTTTGGTGTTTAACAATTCACACACATAAAATATTATACGTATTAAAATATATTTGTAGAAATATTAATTTAATACAAAAGGAGGATATTCCATAAGGTCGGTTTTCGACTTCCTATAAATTTTATTCTAAAGTATTGAACATTACATTTTATTATTGTAAGAGCTGTTAATTAAAATAAAATGATTTCAAATAAATTCTTTAAGAACGCCTTCTACAGTCGAGGCTGGATCTTGGTGCTTTTGCCAAGAGGCAACATTCTCTCTTAATATATGTATAAATATATAAACAATAGTAAGTTACATAGAACGTGTAAGTGAATATTACAAATAAATTTTTCAAGATCACCTTCTACAATATATTTCAATGAAATTTCAATGTAAAACGATGTTCTACAACGAAATTTTAAGACTTAAGATTTAAAAAACTAACCATAGTTGAATATGAGGAAAATGATCGATTGTGATTTTCAATTTTTTTTAAATCTTAAGTCTAAAAGTCTTACAAATTAGGATAGTCCGCTTAACATATTTTAACGTTTGTTTTTATCCTGTAATTAATTAATTCTACTTCTACCATCAATGGTCTTATCACTTTCATATTATTTTCTTACATATGTATGTGTAATTTTTTAATTTATGCTAAGATTGCAAAGTACATATACATTTAACTAAATACAATCATGAATGATCTATCAAATCCAAAGATAGTTAAATGAATATGTATGCATACAATAATGCAATTGTATAACATATAGGTAATGTACAACATTTCTTATGAATAAAAACATCTGCGTTCACACACACACGCGTATTATTTACTTTTTTCATTCTCTTTCTCTTTTTCCTTTTTCTTATATTTTTTTAATTGTCATAAAAATTTCTATAACTTATTTAAATTATATAGAGATGTCTTATATATGTTAATATGTGTATATGTTTTATTGCGGTATAGTATTTTTTACATATTTCATTCAATTGTTATAGTATTGAGATATAATCTTCAGAGATTATTTTGTATGCCAATAGACTAACAAATTAAACAAGGTGATTATTGGCTTTTCATAATTATTTCTATTTTATATGTATATATTTCTTTGAAACTGTAATTAATATTACCAAATGTTCAAAGAAATAACTATGAAATATCGTAAATTATTTTGAATATGTAAGCACAAAGAAGTATTAAATATATTAATAAATATTCAACTAGCTCGAAGAATCAAAAATTAAAAATTAAATAAGTCAATAAAAAGGCCAAAGATCGATTAGCATGTAAATTATTGGCGACTGTATTCTTTATTCACTTTTACTCACTGATGATGGTTCAATGTGAAACCGAAACGTTTGGGGTTTTGTATTTAATTTTATATTAAATTATATTTAATTGTATATAATTGGTGCACTAATATCAGTGCAAGGCTCTTTGGACCTTTTATTGATACTTTTTAAATTATTAAATATATATTGTTCAAATTCGGCCACGATAATATTTAGCTACAGTATTTAACGTACATAAATGTTTAACGTACAGTATAAATATTTGTTAAATATGTATAAATATTAATTAAATTTTAATAATGCAAATGACGATTGATATTGTTTTTGACATGTCTCAATATAAAATGATGGATTTGTATTAATGCATTCAAAATACAATGTACATGTATATCATATTTCAGTGACTATAACATTATTTTGATAATTTGCGAGAAAAATATCTCAATAAATTTTATTATTATATATTTTATTTATATATTTATTATTATATATTTTATTTATATATTTATTATTATATATTTTATTTATATATTTATTATTATATATTTTATTTTTATATTTATTATTATATATTCTATTATATCTGCGGTCCTATCTTAATTCTCATCAAATGCTCTTGAGCTGAATTTCACAATCCTCAAGATGAACGAAATTCGTCATTCGTAACGCTAGACGAAAATATCTCCGGAAATTCCCGTACAAGCTTCTACTGATGCACAAAATCTGTTTACGGATGATAATCCGTGTAAATGATAAGAGGGATTACAGAGCTGGGTTTTCCTCTAGCCGATTACAAGCTTTAGCGTTACTTCAAGAAAACGGGTTAGCTCTGTAGGCAATCTTTAAATTTAAATGAATGTCGAAAAGGGAACAAAAATCAATTTGCGTGTGCTAAAAGTGGAACATAGCATTGTGAAGCAGTTTGTACGAACAAAGTTACGAGATTGCGTCTATTGTTTTCTTCGATTTATTTATTCCAAACTTATTTAATTTGAAAAATTATTAAAGTTTTTCTCAGTCAAATTAAAGAATTAGATATTAATTTTATATTATTATATAATTTGCCTGCTTTCTATCGTTTAAACGTTATCGTTAATATTATTGACTAAATTTACCTAATATTTCTTGACTCTTTTTAAAAACAATATCAAGAAAAGATTTAAAAAATCAGTAAAATATAATACCTACAAATATTTCATGCGTTGTATATTTCATATATTCGTATGTTATAACCACAAAAATAAACTTTTTTAACAAATTGCTAAATATTTAATCGAAGTGTGTGTGTGTATATATATATATGTATACACTGTTGAAAAATTTGTGTTATATTTAACGCATTTCACATGTACCAAACGGTCCACTTAAATTTTGTGTTAATTTAACATAAGATATGTTAGAATATGTTAGAAAATAACACAAATATTATATTAAAAATCAACACTAAAAATGTAACACTGACACAATTTATAAGCAAATAGTGGAAACATATTTTTTTAATAAAATTAATATTTATGATATGTTAAATTAACACGTATTTTATTCATTTATATTAGAATTTACATTTTTAAACACATTACGTTTTTTGTTCACTTACTCATAAATTATTATGTTATTTTGACTCATCCCTAGTAAAAAAGAATTACTAGTACAGTAAAAACACTATTGAAATGTAGTAGTGTTATCACTGCACTAGTAGTTCTTTTTTACGAGGGGTAAGAAATGTTAAATATCAATTTAACACAAAATGTTTAAATAACATAATCACATTATGTTAAATGAACACTCGAATATGTTAAAAATGTCAACACAAAATTTTAACAACTTGAATGGATTATTTCTAACATAAATACAAAATGTTTTTTACTGTGCATATATACATTTGGAATATTTTTTTATATATTATACCTATTCAATATTTTCTATCTTTTTAATTTTTAATATTTCTAATCTATTAACTCACTTAAAACGTCATTTAAAAATTAAAATCAATACTCGATCGATTATCTATAATACTGGCGCAAGACACTAATATCGTATTTCTTGTTTTAATTAAATTAAAATTAAAAGTCACAAAATATATAATACAACAATGTAAGAGCAAATGATTTTTATGAATAGGAGACATACATAAAATAAAAGAGTAAGAAAGATTCTGTGTGTGCATGCGTGCGAGTGGCCTTTAGAAAATGATATTAGGAATTTGTCTGCTGAAAGATTAATTGTAATGCATTTTGCGCTACATCACTGATCGTAATCTATCAAGATATCAAATTGAAATTGACAAATATCTAGAATAAATTATTGTAGTTTCTCTGTCCACTAAGGGATGGGTAAATGCCAAAATTGCAACATGTTCACGTGGTTTATTTTGCCGGTGAAACAAGTCCGTCTTCATATTCATTTTTATATATTTTATTTCCATCCCGAAACTGCCTACGATGAAATCGCGAGCTTATTCGTTCGTGAACCATTATTCCTTAAGAACGTTTCGACTTCTTGAACATAAATCACTTTGAAATATCGATGGAGGAAAGACGTAGGTATTTCGTAATGTTTTGCAGAATTTGTACAGTCGTAAATTTTAAGTACTAACGATATCTTTCTTTGTAAACTAAATAAACTTACAGAGAGAGAGAGAGAGAGAGAGAGAGAGAGAGAGAGAGAGAGAGAGAGAGAGAGAGAGAGAGAGAGACGGAGTGTCTTTTAGTAAAGGTTTCAAATAATTATAATAAATATAATAAATATTGTATCCGTGAAGACGTGTGTCATGCATACTTTCACTTGATCTTACTGAAAAGTGAACTTATATTTATTGACGACACGTTAAATATATTTTATTGCTTACAAGGCAGCATGTACTATGCACAGTTATATGCATATCTAACGCAATTAAACAAAAAGACAATTTAGTCTCAACTGAAAGAAGATAAGGAAAGAAAGGATAACGTGACTTACGTAAGTTAAAATCGCAAACACGCATACGTAAATAGCACTTTCGTAACTATCTCGAACGACAGACCGGCGATTGTCGAAGAAAACTGCACTGCGCAAACTTTTTCCTCATAATATATGCCAGCGACCGTGCGACGCGCGCGATTAATGTGGATGGTGCGCGGGGGATCGGTCGTGAGCGAAGTCTTATGTGCCGAGATCGATGTTGGCGGTGACTGTCGTAAGATTGAGTTCGCGTTAGACGAGGGAATCTTAAGTAAGCGGAAAAAAATGTGGGATGTCCCCAGCGAGAGATTTTTGTCTGTGAGCGCTTCGTGTCAGATAAGCGTGGCTACCGTATTCGCGTTGCATTAATAAGGCGAATACGACACGTATCGGATATTATCAGATGTCTTCTGAGACGTGTTAACGTCGGCGTCGCACTAATGGCACTAACTTTTATCGCGATCACGTACGCTTTGTGAGTAGCCACCGGCTGAAGATGCAAATGAAACGGAGATGGATTAAACCAACAACATCGAGGATGTAATCAACTGACTCAAAAGCATTCAAAGGCTCGCTGGACGCATTTACTGCTCCGTACAGATATAATTGCGCTCTCGCGCATTACTTAACTAGCATCGTCGGAATTTTCGACTACATGAATTTTCATATATCTGAATATAAGAATTGTATCTAATTTAAATAAAGAACTTGTTGAATTATACTTTATACGAGGAAATATATACATATATTTAATAATAAGACGTACTCAAAAGGAAATAATATGTTTTTGTATTAAATGTATTAAATATGTGTCAACTAATATAGTATAACAAATTGATTTGATCATGGATGGCGTTGTTAAGATCAGATCAAGGTCACATCGATTTTTTTAAATAAAATTGTACATAATATTTTTTTTTTACATAATATGATTCCTCTAATTATTCTGCATACATATCTATGTATTATGCTTTATCAAAAATGTAAATCTTGAAAAAAACATCGCCACAGTAAAGTTAAAATACAACAAAATTAAATTTTATTTGAAGTAAAATTTAATTACATTAGAAATGTTTTTTTTACAATTTTTTAAATATAATTTTACTCGATTTTAGACATTATAGATATAAACAATATTAAATCTATCTACAAAGATATAAATGCGCGCGCACTATATACGTGCCATTTATTACAAGTAGTAATAAAACTGTTGAAAACATCTGAAAAATTATGATGTCAAAAAAATACATTATACGCACACACATCTTTACTCACGCGTTCACGTTATAATTCTAAATTTAGTGCAACAAGACTTGGAATGGATTTATGACAGACGTTATTTAATTTTACCATATTAAATATAGATTTATAACGTATATACATAATTTATATTTCTATTATATTTCTATTAACGTATATGCATTATTTATATTATTTATTTTTTAACACTGTAACTTTTATAGATATTGACAAAAATTATTTCAAATTCTAGAATTACTTTATTTTTTTTCTTTCAATACTATTACAAATATTATGAATATGAAAAAGAAAGAAAGAATGCAATGAAGCATTATATCGGAACTTGCAAGAGATGCGTTGATAATATCTCATGCGCTGCAAATTATAAAAAGCTGACGATATCGTTTGAGTAGAAAGGCCATATGGATAGAACAACAGAATCGATATTCCATCGATACCTGCCGATGCCTGCTAATTCTCACGTAGCGATAATATTTATCGATCTATTATCGCCCGCACGATTACTTTTTATCGTTGTATTAATAGATGTTAAAGGATAACGTTATCTTCTATTATTATATACAGCACATTATAGTGATCGAATATGGAATTCGAGAATCAGTAATTATCGATTGTACTTTGTTATATATGTATCAATATAATTTGTTAAGAAGAGATGGATGCTCCCGAAAATTATTTAATCTGCTATTTTTAAGCTGTAAAATGACCAATTTAAGCGCAAGCTCATTTGATACGTTGCATATTTGCTTCTACTTCAGATAAAAACTTATCATTTTAATCGTAAATCTTATCGTTTTAAAATATCTTCTTATTTCACGTATTCATGTAATAAGCTTTAATTGTTTAAATAATTCTTTAATCATGAGATATAAATATACAACTTTTGAAAACAGATTATAACTTAAGATTTTTTAAAATTTACTTACACTTAACGTTTCTATAACTTGGTAAAGAATATTAATGTAAAAGTGTGAGGCTATCTGTTACGCGTACGAGGAATAAATTTAAAATTATTTTTTTTACCTTTAATAAAGTTTAAAAAAGCGCCAAGTATAAGCACCTTCAGTACAAAAAATTTGATATTTTTACATAAATACAAATACAAAATCAAATACAAATATCAAATACAAATTTGATATTTACCTAATATAAAACTATGTTTCTTGATAATGACTTTATTATTTCTTCTATTATTAATTGAGTCATTGTTCTCAATATCAATCTTCAATACATTCTTTGTTGAATATGATTTTTAAATAACAAAAATGTTATTATGTTTTTATGATACATTAGTTATTTTTTGCAGAGCAGCTATCTTTAATTTAATTATAAACGATTTTCAATTATAATTCATCTTACAGCACTAATTTATTCTAATCTTGCATTCGTAATTATATGAGCATTGTAAAAGACTTTCCATATATTCCATGTACATATACGTTATAAATACACACACACACACACACACACACACACACACACACACACACACAGGTATTTACAATAAAACAATTATACATTGATGGTCAACTCAAATGCAGTATGCATCATTTATTCGCTTATTTGCAACGCATTAAACGTTACAATAACTAATATTAATCTTTATTATTGCAAATCAATAGTACGCGTCATACAGTATTTCTAGCTGTTATCTATTATTTGAAAATAATGCGCAATCAACTTAATTATAATAATTATTACATGTGCAAAATCTTGCAGAATAAAACTAATAAATTGTAATAGATTTTTTCTTTAAAAATAGAATTAAATTTTTGGCTAATATGAATAAGTGCTTAGAGAAAAAAAAGAAAGTAGTGAAATATTTTGCTTTCTTAAAATAGATTTAGACTCAATAGATATCAACATGATATAATTCTTATGGATACAAGTTTGTTCCATAGAGTTCTGCCAATCATCCCATAAGTAGAAGTTTATCAAGTATATAGAACAAACGTAATTTACAATTTATTGAAGAAGAAAAAAAAAGAATACGTTTGTGAAATAGAAGGGGAGTCGTGGCATATAATCAACTAATGTCATAAAAAGCGCTTTTGTTTATAAAAAAAAATAATGATCTTTCGTAAATCTTACGTACTAATAAGTGCCATAAAACAGGTTTTATAAACATTTTATAAAATATATTTTTACTTGCAAAAAAAATTTTTTTTAAATTTTCAAAATAATTTTTTTGCTGTACCAACATAATCTTATTGCGTGCATGGAATGACGAGACTTCTCAGAACTTACTCGCGACGGTCGCGATGTAAGTGGCCATATAACATATAATTTTATATGTCGGATTCATATACGTCACATTAAATTTAATTACATTATTTGAAAGCTACATTTAAGATTTGCAAGATAGACTGAAATTAAAAAATTAATACCTAATGGCTTCTCAAAAATACATAAAAAGTATACACCTTTAAAAATCTGCTACGTGCAAAACTGAAATTTAGCTATATAAGTGGCCATATAACATATAATTTTATATGTCGGATTCATATACACATTACGTCACATTAAATTCAATTACATTATTTGAAAGCTACATGTAAGATTTACAAGATAGACTGAAATTAAAAAATTAATACCTAATTGCTTCTCAAAATTACGTAAAAAGTATACATCTTTAAAAATCTGCTACGTGTGAAATTAAAATTCAGCTTTTGTAAAAATTCAATAATGACCAATAACCATTTTTACAATGTCTAAATAGACTATAACAAAATAATTTTAACAGTTATCCCTAGAATTTGCAATGCAAATCATACAAGATATCATGATATTTCACCACCTTATTTATAATATCTCACGACCACTTTCTCCTCTACTTAAGCGGAGTCGAGTGGTATATCACTTATCTTGGGGAAACATCAGGAACATGCAGGGAGAAATCAATAATAAAAGACATTAAAAATCTAATTCTATCACATTTGTTGAAAAAAAATTAATAAATAAGACGTCAAAACATTGATTTAAACAAAAAGAACTCTATTGTTTCTTAAACACGTAAATAAAAAATTCAAACGTATAATAGACTCCTAAATTTAAAAAAACAATAAATTTAATTTAAAAGGAATTAGGTTTCCAAGAAAAAAATCAGAAATATATATAACGAATAAAGTGAGCCGACACGGATGTTGGTGTGTAATAATTTTATTGTTACAATATCTAGCCCCACGCAAACTGCCAGCAGCAATTTTTGTCTTAAAACGCAGTTCTTATATGAAACCGGAATCCACTATAACGAATAAAACAAGCAATTTAATTTATACTTTTGATGCTAATAATAAGCATCTATAAGAATCCCCCTTCTCCTAAAACCTGAATTTATTGTGAAAAATATCACC